GGTAATAAGATATTTAGCAGCATTTTGCGGTTAATTTTAAGTTTGTGCAATACTTTGCTAATACGAGTATTTGTTGACATCACATTAATATCGTGAACTTTAATAAGTTTGTAACTAAAATTACTTTTTAATAATACTGTAAAAATAATCGAAACGACGAACCGCTATACAAAATATTACTTAACGGTATTTTTAATATTTTTCTGACACTGTTTAACCTTATCTAATTGTCCATGCTTGTTTTTTTTTTATAATATAAGGTGGCAAACGAGCAAACGGCCACCTGAATCCACCGAAATGGAAAGCGACCGCCGTCCATAAACATCCGCAATTGCAGATGCGTTGCTTACCCTTCATTGACGGAGGAGGAGACGCACATAAAGAGAACATTTCCCCTTCTTATGCATTTCCTCCTCCGTCAAATCCACTTTACCTTCCCATTCTTTCCTCTTAAGACAAGGCTAGAAAGGGTAAGGGACAAAAATTAAGCCTCCGGCACCTTGCTTCGATTGCTTCCACTTCACGGCTGTTTTCTGTGTGGTCGTGGTATTACACCAGGCGTGCCGGCCCATTCGTGCGAAGATGTTAAAGCGGGCTCTACCGCTGCTTGTGTTGTGAATTTTAAGGAAATTTAACGTATGGTAATTACGAATGTTTCGTTTAATGACAATTTACAACTTTGCAATATCCCGAGTTACCTGTTAAAAACGGTGTTTACAATTTTACCGTAAAACAAAACACTCTAATCTTATATACACGTTTGCAATATTGTTTACTATTGGATGTGGTATGCAAAAGTGGCTTATTGGCAACCAATAGCGGATGCAGTCGACAATAAAATCGACCGCCCCCTATAATAAGAATCATTATTAAAGAATTTAACCTTTAGTAAACGATTATTACAAATATTATTATTTTAAAAAATGCACAAATATTTAAACGACTGTGGTTAATTTACTTAATGTGGAAACATAATCTTTTTATATCAAAATGGAAAAATCCTTACAAATGTAATGTCATGGGGTTAACTGAACAGAATTATAATTTTTAATCTACATTTTAAACTTTAGAGGGCACGATTTTGAAGCAAATGGCACGTTTTTATAGGTTATTTAGTAACTTAAAGCTGTTAACTTAGGTACATTAAGTAGATACGATCTACAAGATATGCTCATATCCTCTACATCTTAGATACATAATACTTAGATCCCTCATACACTTGACTGTCTGTTAGATGTTAAACTAGTATGAAATTACTCTATCTATCTGACCAATATTCTAAATGCGAAAGTTTAGATGGATGGATGAATGTTTGTTAGAGTTTGTAGCCTAAACTGCTCAACGGATCTCGATGGAATTTGACATAGATGCAGAGGATAGCCTGAAAGAACACATAGCCTATTTGCTTTGGTTTTGTTTTAATTCCACTCGAACGAAGTCACGGGCGAAAGCTAGTAGGTAATATGTCTATGTCCGACATGTTATTTTAATATTTTTTTTTTAAATTAATTGAAATGTATTTTATTTTTTAGTCTAGTTCTTTTTGCGTAAAATAAAACTAAGTTTTCTTTGTTATATCAAAATTCATGATAAAATGTAATAAAGCAAATAGTTTTATTTAATTTTAATCTAAAAAACAAACGAGAATCTACTAAATCCGTTTAAAAAATATAAAACTACATCGTGAAAAATACTAAACAAATAACTCGTAAATTTCAGATGTCAATTCGAATATTTTGTTTATAAGTAATATATCGCATTACTTATTAAATAAACTACTAAAACTAGATTTTATTTAAAAAATGTCGCTAAACAATCATTAAGTTGAGGTTAGTTTTGGTGGCTCGTTAAAATGTAAATTAATGTTCGAATTATAGATAGGAGAGACAAAAACTCATTTTTTTTAATAGCACAAACCTGTTAGACCTTGGAATGTAGAAATATTTCCAGTTAACTTATTTGGTAAGTGGTTAAAATGCGTCATAGTTATGTGTTAACATTAGTTCTAAAGTTATTACACAATAGTTTGAAATTTAAGTTCCCAATTTCACAAAACAGAAGTAGTAAATTAAAAGGTAAAATATCCCCGATAAAAATCTTTTATGAAAAACCGAAGAGTTACATTCTGTTCTTATAAGTTTATTGAAAGTTTAAATGAATTCTAGGCAGATTATTATCTGCCCAACTTCACAATCAATCACCGACATACTTAGACAAAACTCGAGAACTTGGGCAAAGTTATTTTTTGACCGACTTCCCAAAAGAAGGAGGTACTCAATTCGTCGATATATTTTTTTTATGTGTGTTAAGGCATAACTCCGCCGCTAGTGGAGCGATTTTGATAATTCTTTTTTTATACGAAAGGTAATGCTTGCAGGTGGGTCCCACTTTTTTGTTTGATTTTTGGAGTCTAAGACTACGACGTAGTTAAATAGTTTAGCTCAAAATCGCGACGAAATTTAGGGTCATTTTTGCTTTCTTTGCTTATGTAAATTATATTCGCAAGATTTTATTAGAGTAGTTATTCCAAATATAAAAGAAACTTGCCGCTAAAAATCTACAGGTCTTCCACTATTTAACATTTGATTTTGTTTACAGAAATGGTTGAATTTTAATGAATCAACTATTATAAAAAAATACTAAAAAAGAAACGAAAAGAGATAAAACCAAAAGCTTTATCGTCACTTTCTACATCACAAAATAGGTTTAAGAAAGTTGTGATAATATTTTAAATTTAATATAATTTATTCGTAAGTAAACAATAATTTCCACATTACATCTACAAAAATTAAAACCGGAATCATTAGTAGATACAAAAAAAAATGAAACTAAACAAAGTAAAGAAGAAAACATTTCTTGATAAAATTTCGTTCATATCGATTTCACGGCATAGCAATAAATAACTCAATGGTGACGATTATTTAAGAACTTATGGCACACTTCAGACTAATGTCAAACGTTTATTAATAAATAATAACAACAGGAACTTATAAAAATAATTAAATTACTATATTAAATAAAAATACAAGTTTATATTATCTTGTGGGCATAGGTATGAGAAAAAACTCCTAAGGTGATAAAATGTTGTTTCTTGAATAATAAGTATTATGAATGAAGACATGTAACTAGATGATTTAATAAAAATACTAAGATATGCAATAAATTAAGGCAATATAAACGGGTAAACGCACTTGTATGTACCTACCTATGGTTAAATAAAGGTATCTCTTTAACTATTGCAGACAAACCTACAGTTCTATATGCATACATATATCTATTAAATATAACGACAACGTTACTTCATATTTTAATAAAGCGTAATTTGTATGGTTTAGTTAACTTTCGGCGCCTGCGCATAAAATAATAGCAATATATATACAACAGATCAACCCAAAAACGAAGTAGAATGCATGCTGTTTTCAATAGTATAGTACAATATATGTAACTGAATGCCACAGCGGTCAATTCAATATTCAAATTAAAGTAAACACATTTAATGGCAGTGAATTCATAAAATTAATTTAATATTACAAAAACACGTTATTAAAAAGCGGATGCAGATGTTAATATTTGAACTTAACATTAGTCCAAAAAAGTAGGATATCTGATATGGATGAATCACCCGTTTATTGTCCAATCGAATATTACGTTATATTCGATGAGTAAATATGCATCAGATTAGATTAGGAACAAGCGTCGGAAATGGCCACCGAAAACAAACTATTTATCGACAAAAAAACACGTTACTAGAGCTCATAACCTTTGAATGTATATATATTTTTAAAAAGATTAACACAACTATGAATCATCATCTTTCTCCTTATCCTACTCCCGTAGGGTCGGCGCAACAGATTTTTGTCCTCCACATAACTCTATCATACGTCATCTGTCATCATTAACACAATTAAGAATGTAAACATAAAAATTATAGGTTTAGGACCATAATCAGGAAACTCGTTCATGAAATTACCAGACAGCATAGAATTGAATATTCTCATATCGATGCAATAGTTTCAATCTCTTTTTGCAGCAGCAAAAAGGCAGAAATTAAAGTGCACGGCACGACTCAAGACAAAACTCGTCAGTCTAAATATTGGTTCAAAACGTAGAAATTGATGACCTATGCCTCAGTCACAATATAGGAACATATTGTTGATACTAGAATGTATCAATTCACTTACATGAAATAACCCGTTTCTCTGGACTTCCATTGTTTACACAAATCACCGCATAAAATGTCATATGTATGTTGACGCAACTCACAGCATTATTATTTAAAAAAGATATAATTCAACGTCAATAGACTATCGATATTCACAATAAATTATACTTTAACGTAATGATAATTGTTACTTTGTGACCAAAACATATAAACAACTAATTTGCTTCCGTGAACATGTCGACGATTCCTTCTTTAAAACGTAAATAGGTGTTCACTTGGTCGAGTATTTTGATACACTATCTACATATAGATGTATTATCAAATATTATCAGCGCACTAACTTACGTTCGACATTATCCAATTGACACTCAAAAATTATAACTATTTACATTACATTATAATGTTTAGCGAAAATGCGTTAAGTCTAATTATAAACAGTATTTACTAAATATATTTTCAAAACGGATTTTATTATAAACGAAATTTAAAAAATGTTGATGTCTGCTCACAAGGCTAAAAGCATTTAATACTATTTACACTATTTATATAAAAAATTGATAATACATTTAAATATAGTTATATTGCGTCGGAGCAATGATATAAAGGTCGCGGGTTCGAACCCGCCATTATTTCTGCGTACAAACAAATCCAGTTTACGGTATATGCATTTGTATTACTTCATAGTGTCTCCCTTTGCTTTAGATTTGGTGTAGGTACCTTGTACTTGTAGTCAGCTCATATTTGTTCAAAGACTTCGGGCTAGGTCGTAGTCAACCACACTTGCTTGCGCTTTGGTACTCGATATCTATTAAATTTTTTTAATGATTAAAATACAAACCTGCAAGATTAGCTTTCCATTCCGTGTCACTGATGTCGTAGAGTTGAGTTTCTGTTTAGTTTTAGATTCGACCAGTCTCTCCTGTTGCAACAACTGTTCGTGTACCGAATGTTTGTTCAGTTGCTTAATCATTGTTAACAAATATATCGATCAATTCTCAAAACGATACACCGCTTCTAAATTATCGCAACACTTTACCAACATCACAATATAATTTAAACATTAAATCAAGAGTTGAATGAGATGATTTGAAACTTAAATTTTCCAAGATGGCGACACTATGAATATTGTCTGAATTATACGAAACAATTGACTGTGTACAAGACTATTCTTATCAACGGAACAAAGTAAAATGAAGTGAACATATTTGCCCTCTCAGTGATAATGAAGACTATTAATAAATATCTTCGGAGAATAAATTTTCAATCCCGATCGTTCACCGTCAAGAGGTCGTGCGTATGATTTATTGCGACTTAATTGTTTCATTTGAAATAAAATAAACTATTTATTATCTCATTAATATGAAAACATCAAACAAATATAACAACACTTAGATTATCTTTGTATGGTACAGAGAAGATTTCATACAATTTTATTACCTACTATAGTTTAGCAAAGTCGTTTGATGCTCCATAAGGCAGTCATTCTGATTGGTATTGTAAAATTACTTTGTACCTTTTTGGCGTCTTGTTTAGAAGAAATCTTTCAATACATCTATCTTATTTCTAGTGCATAATACCATCAACTGATACAAAGATATTTATGAAGCCATCTTTGCTGTGTTTTTTGCATCTGGATCAGAAAAAAATCTAAATGAAGAAATGTAAGTGTTGAATGCCAAAGCAATGTTTTGTGTTACGTAAACGAATTTAAAAAAAATATATTTACAGAATTACTCGGAATCAGAATTCAAATTACGGACACTTTCGTGGAAGTAAACCAAAAGTACGTGACATAAATGTTCGAAAAACGATTGCAAGATATTTTTGTCCGAATCGGCTAACAGTATCTTATTTGGTTTGTGCAACGTACAATATAGATTAATAAATATAATAGAGATTAAATGTTGGTTTCTACTGGTGAAAATCCAACAGGAAAATTACCCCATTACGCGATTTTCCTGCAAATGTAAGTCGCTTGAGTTTCCCATCTTAGATGTATCCTAAAATTAGTAAAAAATATATATGGTTACCTAATCTATCGTAATCCTATCCACCTTAGTAACTACAGGTTTATATATTGCAAGTACGTATATCAAAAGAGATGATATTGCTTTGACGTATTACTAAACTTTATTTTTTTAAGTGCTTGTATATTTGATAATTTTCGTATGGCACTACAATACGGTAGTTGCTATTTCCTACCAAATTAAATGCTAATAACCTGTAGGTTATCTCTGACGAACTTGATAACTCATTTACATGTAAACATAAATACAATGTAAGGAGGATTTAGTAAACCAACAACAATAATTATGTTTATTGTAAGTTTTAACAAATAACAGTGTATTTCCTATCTAAAGTCGAACTTATTTAAAAAATATAAAACAGATTTTTCTTTCAGAATATCTCACAAAGGTAAAAACTCTTCAATACGCCTTTCATTCTGTATACAAACGTATGAAAGAAACTCATTAACAGCTGACAGCGCCATCTACAAACACAATTTACAAACAGTTGCTATTAAAAATGACTTACCATGTTTAAATTTCGAACGAGTTTCAAATCACAACTTTGAAATCTGTTGAAAATCCTTCGATAAAAGTGGCCAGTTTCCGTCCTTGTGACGTCGACATCTCTCAGTTTCCCGCGCTGCGACTGCCGCGATGCGCGCCACAGAACACATTTTGAGCGCAATAGATAACGCAAGTCTTCACTGTTTTACGACAATATTGCCATCTCTTTCGTTCTATTTGAGAAAAACAGCGATAACGATAATCGCATACAGGTGTAAAAGAAAGGTGAATTTTCCAACATTAGTATGTATAAGTCTGCGTGTATGCAGATTTACGACAAACTCTTCGGTATCTAGACCGATTACATATCGCGTAATATTTTTTTTATCTAATGCAAAGATAAAATCTTTTATTCTGGGACGTGACAAACCTCCGATGAATTACGAATAAAAGAAAACGATAGCGACGTTTTTAAGCAATTTAATAAAACAAAAATGGCATTACCTTAAATCATATTTCAACAACCCAAAAGCATTTAGCAAAACCTTAATTTACGGTAACTAACTAGAACTTCATCTACATTCAAAATTAAAATTACGTTCAACAGAAACTTTTGTTATAGGCCATTTTCTAATTTTGACCATGACAAAGCTGGATGAAGATATACATTTTGAGGGTAATTATTTATTAACTAAATAAGGAACATGCTTTAACACAGCCTAAAAAACTAAATTAAAATAATAATTAACTTACAATAGTCTAATAATTTGAAATATGTGCGATTAACCCCAAAAACATAATTCCACTGTACATAACATTGGTTTTTGTGTTTAAATAATTATATTCAACACAATACACGTCACGTCATTTGAACAAAATCCTTAAATGATAATTACTAAAAAAAATCTTAGATTAACACTTTGGTTTTACCAGTAAATGTTTTCAAGAGTATATATTGTCAGAAATAACACAAAATAATTATATTTAATAAAATCGAATAAGAATAGCATCCCAAGCAGCTTTTCGCATTTCAATAGAAAATTTGTACTTCATAGTGATTTAAAAACTTCAATTAAAGGCACTATTACAATTAAAAAAGTAAATTGAAAAACAAATGCGACATTAAAATAAATCTTCACTAATCATAGGCCAAATTAACTGAGTTTAATATAAAAAACTTGCCTGTCAATGAATACTTAGAAATAGAGCTGAATTATTTATTTAATCTAATGATTTTTCTTTTCAAACTAGTGAAAGATAAGAGGCATATATGATGCCCAGTTCATAGGCGTCACCTATAATCATCGATTGGCGACGCACAGTTGAAGGTTGGCGACGCGCGGTTGAAGGTTGGCGACGCACGGTTGAAGAGTGCAGCTTAGAAGCAATATAAATCTTAAAATTGCAATAATAATTATATTATAATGTTTACCTAACAGTAAGAGAACTTAAAACATAAATAAAAGTTTATATACCAATCGAATTGACATTTTATTACTAAATAGATAGAATAAATGGATTCAAAGGGTACGTATAATCGGACAAAGTTATCTGACCCGGTGAGGGGCGATATAGCGTTTAGTATGTGAAAACATGTAAAACCTACTCTATTTATACTATTTTCAAAGAGCCTCCTACGGGACGACACGATCTTGTGATATTTGACATTGACGGGGTCCCTGATCTAAAAAAAATATGCGCACCGGGTCAGATAACTTAGTCTATTTATATTGAAAATTATAGTTTAAGTTGTTGTCCCCTTCGCAACATGTAGTGCGATACATTTTCATATGTGAGGAATGTGATCATGGTCGCAGGCACGACGCGCACGAGGTTCGGTTGCAGACCCTTGTAGAAACCCCTCCAGCCCTCATGCCTGCAACCAATGCGGCTGTTCTTTATAATAACCAAATATAATTCACTAAAAAAATCAATTACTTACCGATATATTGATTTTAAAGCACATACAATATTTTTGTTACCTACCTTTCCATTATTACTAATGTAGTTTTATTCGTTTTTATTATCAAGAGGATTTAAAGGAAAATGTTAATATATTTAAGCCTCTTTATACAGAGAAACGAAAATATGCAATTTTAGCCTCAAAATGGCTTATGCAATACAATGTCATATGTAACGTACCTTGTACGAACATCTGAGATTATATAACATAAGTTGCTTTAAGAATAAAATCGCAGATTTGCGTAACCTTGTGTACAAGGAGCCTAAGGGTTAACATTTAATATCGTATCATAAAATAAAACCATCTCCATTATCAATTTGCTATCTTTTATTGATTACACAAATTGAATAGGTGATTGGAAACAGTTAAACTAATACATTATATAAAAATATATACGTCTCAAAGTTTGTGGCCAGCCACGGAACAACACGCAACAGTGCAAAGAAAAATATACGCATTTATGCAAATTAAATAATATGGAAGATATATGAAAAATACCTATCAAAATTCTATACTCATATATCTAAACACATCGACATTAAAAGTATATGTTTTGTATGATTTGGTTTATTTACGTTTATGTAGAACACGTGAAATTGGAATAATTAATTTGACAAGCTGTTGAATATATTTTTTAAACTTACCACTAAATTGAAATAAAAAATAGTTTGTTTAAATATCACATACTATTAATAATCCAAAATAATAAAAAGGCAAATTTTATAATATTTAATAGTCGACAAATAAAATGTAATTTGAATAATAATTAAACAAGTGTGTGAATGATAGACATTTGTTTTCATAAGTTTATTTTCAGTGGTTACATTTAGATGAAGTAGGCACTTATTTTTTTTATGAAGAAAAAACAAAGCTTTTTCTTATAGGCAAAAATTCAAAATACAAAGGTGTTTTGTTACAGATAGAAGGAAAAATATGATTAAGTCATTTTTAACGAAACTTTTTTCACAAGTCGCAAAACGAATATATTTTTCTCTGAACCGACACAAGTCAAAAAGGATTTTCGAGACACAAAAATAATGCAAATTTAGTTTTAAACATCGCATTATTTTTGGTTCATTTTATAACTTCACACATATCAATTAATAACATAACCAAGGTATTTACAATCAAATACAATAGAAAGTATAATTTTAATACCTTTGTTTTTAATAAATAATATTCATATGTGTAAAGTTTATGTTCAATAAATACTTATTTTATATTGATTTAATATTACAACCCACTTGTGTGGCTAATATTTGAAATAAAACTGAAATGTTATTGTAAAATGAAATTTTAACAAACACCAATGGTCAATGGTGGGTACACAAATACGATAAGCGTCTAAGACAGAATAGCTTCAAACTTGCGTATTAGTAATAATTTACTATTAAAATGTAATTTCACTATTAGTTAATTTAAGAGAGGAAACAAGTTGAAACGAATCCATCTTATATTTTATTTCAACTGAAAACCTAAAATTTGTAAACCAACATTGCGATATCAAACCTCTCAGAATATCTCCACTTACACTTATTTCACAAGTAATAATATTAATATTAACAGTGGAAGTGCCCGCTTTAACATCTTAGCACGAATAGGCCGGCACGCCCCCAGTAATACCACGACCACACAGAAGACAGGCGTAAAATGGAAACAATTCCGTGTTTCGTCTAATGAGTGTGGTACCGGAGGCCTAATTTAATTCCCTCTCTCTTTACCACCTTTTTCTTATAAGGAGAGGTTGGAAAGAGGAAGTGGATTTGACAGTAAAGGAGATGCATAGGAGGGGGAAATATCCTCTTTATGTGCGTCTCCTTCTCCGTCGGATAAGGGTAGGCAACGCATCTGCAATTGCGGATGTCTATGGGCAGCGGTCGCTTCGCCATTTTGGCGTTTTCAGGTGGCCGCTTGCTCGTTTGCCACCTTATGTGATAAAAAAAAAATATTTCCGAAACAAATATGTAATAAATATATTAAAGGCAGCTTTTTAACTGCTCGTTTGTTTACAAGGTTTAGGTGTTGAGTTGAAACAAATTATACATAGAGTCTATCGTCGTCTCACCACACATGTAACGTTATACGAAAGAAACGTGTCTTTTAAGGAGATTGGAAGTCATTTAATATAATCTAAGTACTATTATCACAAAAATTTAAATTACAACTAAATTGTGCTACGTGCAATTCACTAATTTGGTGTTGTGTTGCACGAATTTGACGCAATCGCGATCTGATGGGAAATACACACGAGATTACGGCTCTGGCGGGCATTAGTTAATACACGAACAACACAACATATGTCGTGAGACAGGTTATAAATAATCACAATTATATGATCACATACAATATTTTTTTTGCAAAAAAATTAACAATTTGAATTCTTCACTTTATGTCGTTATTTTAAAAAAATATTTACAAAAATAACCTGTCGAAATCCCGTACTTTAAACAAGTCTAAAAAAAAATATTCCTTAAATAACATGTCGTCAAATTTTAGTCATATAATAAACATTTAAAAAAAAGTACGTTCACAAAATGCAATTATTAATTAAATTATGAAAAAAAATCAAAAATCCTGCTTAATTACTAATCTTACCTTTAAAAAACACTCCATATACAAAAACGACACCAAAAAGAACCCTGTTGGTGAACAGCTGTCAATTTAATGGTCATAGACAATGATTTAAATACACAGATAAAACTATTATTCTATTTTAAAATTCGTGAAACACTCAAAACATATTTTTGTCTCACTGCATATTACAAATAAAATCACAAAGGTGTTAATTAAAAAAAAGGTGTGACTTTTTTTCTATATTTTAGGAGGTTATAAGTTTAAAAACAAAACCATGTTAGTTAATTTTGAATTTAATGTTTCTACAACATAAAATTTACAGCCTCAATGGCTTATGTTTCTCCATTTGATAATAATTATGACGAGTTTTCTGAACAATAAATTATTGTGATGTTCTCAATGTGATTATAACATACATTTTTCTATTTTTATTTATTTTACATCTTTGAATATTTTTAATGATGCAATAATAAAAAAATTTGAACCATTTTTACTGTTTAATATTTTTATCGCAAGTTTCAGGTTATTATTCAATTTTTTTATTTAATCTGTGGTGTATTTACATAATTTTTACTATTTTTTTTCTTCTATGTTATCATCCTGCATACTTTGTCATTTTTACTCTTCTTAAGCAGATAATTTTATACACTTCTTTGTTTCAAACGAATTCTGAAAAGCCTCGGCCAACTTTATTTTGACAAGAACAATGTCTTAAGAATATACATAAAGTCTTTGGTCACACATTAGCAATCGTAACAAAAAAATAAACAATATCGATATATTTAAACTAGTGCACGTTTCCCATCAGATAATCGATCGATTCAATCGTTATTAGTGAATTTCTCCCAAATGAGCATAACTAGGCATATATTGGGCGTTACATGTAGGAGATACGGCGTGAGGCCCTTGTAGAAGCCGCGGACGCGTTCGTACCTCCAGGTGTCGGTGACGCAGTGCCAGGCGCCGCGGTAGCTGCGGTGCTGGTCCTGCAGCCGCGCGCGCACCACCTGGTACGGGTACGTCGCGCCCGCCGCCAGCAGCTTCGACACCGCCGCGAACGACAGGTACTCCAGCGACGTCTGCAACCGCCCGCACGCCTTACACCCGCCCTACACCCGCCCTACACCCGCCCTACCCTCCTACACCTACACCTAACTACCTCCCTAGATACCCACTTGTACCTCACTAGCGCTATAAATGCGAAACCTAAACTATTGAACAGATCTTGATGAAATTTGGCACTAATGTATAAATGTCTGGAAGAACACATAGGCCACTTACAATTTTTTTTAATTCTCCGCAAACAGAATCGTGGTCAAAAAAAACTACTAGCCCCTTTAATTAACAGCTTGCCCCCTCATTTAACTATCCCCTTTTCCTAGACCATCGCCTAGAAACGCCCATGCAATCAAGATTGGTAAAATTTGCAGCACCTCGTACTAACCTAACATCATCTACCTAACAACAGTATCAAATTGAAATTTCGATATTATACCATACTGTATAAAGTTTGCAAAAACTTGAGACCATTTTATAAAACAAAAAATAAAAAAAAACACGATTTAGCGAGATTAAATGGCACAGTATTTCTGAAATATCATGTCTCACATGAACATTACATTTAACTAAAAAAAAGAGATGCAAATGTTACATTCCGAGAGAGTCGTAATAAAAAGTTGGACATACCAATTTAATGTCAATGGGCAGGTTCCTGTACTCGTTGTATCGATTCTTCATTTCTTCGTACGTCATGAACTGCAGCGCGCCGTGCGACACGCCGAACATGCCCGGCACGAAACCCTGCAAGTTTTATTATACACATTTATATAGTATAGACAAAATAAAAAAAACTTAGTATGTAGCCTATATGATCTACCAGACTATGTTCTACATCTAAGCCAAATTAGCAATTTAGACTACAAACTTTAATATCAATGTTTTTTTTTAAATCAGTAGATTTTTGTTAATTCCTTAATATTTCCTTTAACCATTCCAACTCAGCTCTAGGCTTGTGCTAGGATATGTTTCACTACGATAGTCGAATGGCGGAATTCGAAACCTCGATCGAAAGATCGGTAGTCCGTACCCCAAACCATTAGGCTATTGGCGCTTTGAATTCAATACTTTTTGTACTCAGAGACTTCAATTTTATTATAATAATTTTTAATGTCTGATCTTAACTTACAGACAACAAATAATGAGGCTAAAAACTTATTACTATTAGACAACTTATTTAATTGATACTGTCGCTTTAAACTCAGAGCAACACTTCTCGCCAGACTCTGGATGCGCGCCAATCTATTCATACTTCTAGTGACATTGACAGCTGTCAGGTAGGGACGTGACGTTTATGCCGATAATCTAGAGTTGCGCCAATTCTATAGCACGGTACTAATTTTATTCCTAACATTACTTACTAGAAAAATTATTTAGAAATATAATGTTTAATATAACCAATGAAATATAAAATCAAGGACATAAATCTAGTGACAGATAAGATAAAATAAAGTTAACAAAATCTATTTCTTTTTCTAATCATTTACCTTTTACTAAGACTTAGCGAGTTTAGTGTTAGCCTGAATGGTAAATGTAGAATATAGTAAGGGTAATGAAGAGTAAATGAATTTACTTAGTAGATAATTTATTATTAAGTAAACATTTGTCAACATTCACTTTATAATAATTAAGTTGAAGAATAAATTGCTTTACTTAATTTATTTATCAAGAAATGTTGGTGGAACTAATTAAGGAGTTATTTTGAAATTGTAACATTCAGTAATTTTATTAATTGGCGGAAATGAGCTCAGCCAAGTTATTTATGGGCTTCTTTCTTTTAAGCAATCCTAGAATTGTATTATATTGAATAATAATATTTTGAATACAAATTTGTATAACATAATTACTAGCTTTCATTACTGTTCAAGTGATAAGGTTTACTGGTGGTATTATACATCTCTAATTTTTATAACTGGCTCTAAGTTATTATAAAACAGTGACATGGCGTTAAAATTAAAAAATACGATGATGATGATAAAAATCTTTACAGTGTATGGATAAAAATCATCTTTGCAAAGAATCATAATTAAATGTAAAAATGTACTGTGAATTGTTGCTTCAATTTCAGCTTTTTGACTATTTTTGACGTATTCTGTATTCTTGAAGGTTGTTAGTCTGTGCTATAAATCAGTACCATTTGTCATAATTTGAAATAACGATATAAGCTTTGTAATTGTGACCCTAAACATTATTTTAAAATATTTATGTCATGGTTTTAAAATGTCGTAATTGTGCTTGTTATGTTAAGAATCGGATAGTAGTCGGATGTCAAAATAAGGGTGTTGCATTAGCTCGACGATACGACGGCCATATTGGTAAGGTAATCTGTGCAAATTGGAAGAAAACATAAGAGGTAATGAATTATTAAAGCATAACATGGCTGTGACGCCCATAGAATGATCTTATTCTTTGCAACGGTTTATTTGTAAAATATCTTATAGCTCTTAAAGAATTCGCAATATTATGATATTTGAAATTTATGTTATGAAACCTGTACCAATATGAAATATTCCTCCATATTTATGTTATACAAAAATAACACGTATTCTTATACATTATTGGCCACTTGTATTGAAAAAAAATCTAAACAAAAAGACTGGTACTAAATAATTTTCTTGCATCTCGATTTAGTTAATAACCTATCAAAGATTAAAAACTACAAGATATTCTTTTACTTTTCTAGTTAATTTCGTTCCATGTAATGCACAATTTAAACACAAAAACCAACTATCTAGTACGAATTACTATGATATTTACATATAACAAATCAAGAATTGTTCACTATAAGATTGACGCAATAAAGACAGCCCAAGGGCATTTTGCGTATTTTTATTCAATCGCTCATCTTTATCAACGTTATATTTACGAAAACCGAGACTGCTCGTAATCACAGCTTAAGATAAAAAAAATAACTTTATGCAATTCAATATTAGTATGTTTGTCCCATACATAACATACCAAAAAAGAATCGTGTATAGTTCGCGCCTAAAAAATCCATAACTATACAGTATGTGCAAAATTTCAAAATCAACCTTCATTTTTTAAATTAGTTTAATTTATTCAGCGTAATAGCTTGACAATGAGTTAGTTAATGGTCGCTGAAAACATGTTAAACATTTATGATCATATTGAAAGATGTAATAAAAACAGCTACAGTTTACATTGCCAATAAGCTGTACATGTTTATTTGTTTACTACTTATGGATACTTAAAATAGACAACCTTACCTAGATACTTATAAAATTAAATAAAAAACAACTTTATTGAGACAGAATAGTGCTTATCCAAGAGAGATTAACATTACATATAAAAATTTAAAATATAACTCACCCTGTATAGCCCTCTGATGCCTTCGGTTCTGTATATTTTGGTGAGGCCATCAACCATGCCCTTGTATCTCTTGTTATCTGCTAGATGTTCGTCGCTGTACTGCAAGCAGAGACGCGTCTTCACCACCCAGATGGGGTTGGTCATGATGAGAGACAGCACCCCTGCTTCAGCTGCTGCCAACATATGCAGCCCTGGGCCCAGTGGCGTCCGCGCATTGCCACCTTGTATCCATGTTTTTATTGCATTGTAACTTTTAACAAACAAAAACATTTAAATACACTATTTTGGATTCCTGATATTAAAAGTAAAACATTAAACATAATGGTATTAAAATATAGATAAAAACAAATTAAAAAAACCCAAAGATTTCATTAATCATATGGAATAATTTTATACAGTTGTATAAAACATCAACATAAGACTGGCTTGAAATAATGTTTGCATTCATTGTAATAATAAAGAGACATAAAATTAAAACAATTAAATTAAAGATGATTAAATCTGTACATTTTTCAAAAACAAAACCTATAATAAGAGAATAGATACTTACAATAAGAAATAAAAGCCCCAAGCAGATCCTGAGCCCCAGACGTTGGGGGTAACACCGCGGTACAACCCTTTCACACCTTCTTTTTTAACTATTGTAACAAAAGCACTGCCGAGGCCATCATATCTTGGTACTGTAGCGGTCCTGCCGTCATTCACTGTAAACATTTTACACAATAAATAATTAATGTAATTCTATCCATAATTTAAAAAAAAAACCCAGCTAACATTTAATGTTCACAACCGACTTACTTACTTAATAAGCAACAAGTAGTAGTAGTAAGTCATTTACAAGTAGCAATAGACTTTGTACACTAATTGTTCATACTATAAAAGTATCAATTTTTTCTCCAATTTGGTTAATTTGATGTTAATAACATGAGTATTTATTATAGATGATAAATTAGTTTATTAGTACAAATACGTAAATTTAATTAAAGGCGAATTCAATTTGGTCGAACATCCAACATGAAAATTACGAACTGGAAATTGAATGGAAAAATTGTAGATGCAATACCAGAATTCAAACCATAAGACAATAGGGACATCAATAATCAAATTGCTTCAACATGCGGCAAACAATGACTGTTTTCAGAACAATGAATAATGCATTCATTAAGAACACATCTTCATTCATTGATTACTTCCTTAATTGACATGAGTATGCTTTCTCTGTGTTGTTCATATTTTAATAAATAAGGTATTATATTCAATTGAAATGAAATATTTTGGCATCATTAGATTTATACTATTAAAGATATAATAGACAATTTATTACAATTAAATGGTTTCTCTTTTTTTTTTTAATTCTTTCAAAGTTATACTTCTTTGAATAGCAAATTATGTATTTTTATTTGCAAAAAACCTTTATCTCTCTTGATTATAAAACAAAAGGTAAAGAGAAATGTAAAATGTTAAGAATTATATATATTTTGTAAAATATATATCCATGGTAACTGATATTCATAAAATAATGTTTGGTGTAAATAGTACTGTTTGCAACAAATATGCTACGAGCTTTGTTTATTATTGCATCAGGAACTCGTGATAAACTGCGGCTTCACTTTCACTAGATGCAGATCAAGTTCAGGGTCAAAAGATAACCAAAAAATATTTAAAAGATACAATTTAACACATTTCAACAATGTATCACTATTTATTTAAATATAACAATGCTTGGCTGTCGTTTCAACGATTTGGAACTGCCAAAAATACAAATACGCACCTGCAAATCTGATTTTGATAAGGTCCAAAGGGTGCAGAATTAAAGTAGAGGTGACACCACCCGATATTCCAGCTACCAGGTGTTCGTATTTAATATGACTGAAGAGTGCGAGCTTAGAAGACGACGAATTAGGATTCTTCATTGTAGTCATGATGATTAAAATAAATCACAGTTGAAACATTTTGTAAGGACCTTAGGGACACCTATACTCGCCGCGCTATATCACTAAGACAACTGATAAATTTCACTAAAAAACAATCACCACTAAACATCATTGCTTTCGTAATATACCAACAAAGTATAAAATGTGTGAACAGGATGATTTCCACATGATTTCTTTCATGTAATTTTCGTCGTATTGTTGGGCGTTCCGTTTTACGTTAATTTTATGGTTTACCGAAAAAACGTTTACTTTTAACATCTGTTTTTTTATCAATATAATTGTTCAGAGAAAGCTGTTTATTGTGATAAAAAAGACTAATTGCTTCATGGTTAATTAAATTACATGTTTAAAAAAATAACATAGCAGTACGTTAAAATGTCTTTTGCTAGAAAAAAAATTGTCATAGTGTTAACAGTTTAGAAAAATTCGCAGGTTTTGTTAGATTTTTATTGTATTTGCTATTTGTTGCGGATAATTTTTTTAGCGATACTTTGAAAATAATTTCATAGCAATACTTTGAAAATAATTACTTGGCTTCTTATGAAGCTAACAATTTATATGAAGCGAATCCAGCATGTTTTCGTTTTATTGTGTCAATAAAACATTCTACAATAGATTTTAAAAACAATAAATGCATGGTTTAATCTTCATTTAAAATATGTGATTTTTTTACTTTTTCCACGAAGTATATTTAAGAAAGGCATTGGAAATCGAAAATTGTGAACTAGCAGCACTGTCTTGTCTATTCTATCAATTTTTGGGTTTTGATGTGCCATTTGACAAGCTTGACGTTTTCTTCGATCATTATTCACCATTACGTAAATCGGCGAGCGAAAATTTTTAGCAAGTAGAAGATATTTAATAAAATGTTGAAAGCTGGAACTACTTTTAAATTACTCTCAAAACAGAGTAACAATGTGCGACTCCTGGCTACTGCCGTCGGCTATAAACAAGCATTAGTTAACATCCCTCCGACAAGGCTGACAGTCCTCGATAATGGGATCCGTGTCGCCTCTGAAGATTCCGGGTCTCCGACTGCAACCGTAGGCCTGTGGATTGACGCCGGGTCAAGGTATGAAACTTCAAAAAATAATGGTGTTGCCCATTTCCTTGAACACATGGCTTTTAAAGGCACTAGCAAAAGATCACAAACTGACTTAGAATTGCTAGTCGAGAACATGGGAGCACATCTGAACGCATACACCTCACGAGAACAGACTGTCTTTTACGCAAAATGTCTTGCAAATGATATACCAGTCGCAGTTGAAATCCTTGCTGACATAATTCAGAATTCTTCGCTCGCCGAACCCGAAATCGAACGAGAACGCGGCGTTATTCTCCGTGAAATGCAAGATGTGGAAAGCAACTTGCAAGAGGTTGTGTTTGATCACTTGCACGCCACAGCCTTTCAAGGTACACCTTTAGGGCAGACTATTCTCGGACCCACCAAAAACATCAAGAAAATCTCTAAAGCTGACCTACAGCAATATATCAAGACTCACTATCAACCTACTCGTATTGTGCTTTCTGGGGCTGGTGGAGTTGAGCATGAGAGGCTTGTAGATCTTGCATCCAAGCATTTTAGTGGATTAAAGAATACTGCTCTGGACTTACCCGACCTGGCTCCATGCCGTTACACTGGATCTGAAATCAGAGTGCGTGATGACTCTATGCCTCTTGCACATGTGGCCATTGCAGTGGAAGGTGCAGGGTGGACTGATGCTGACAACATTCCTCTTATGGTGGCCAACACTCTTATTGGAGCCTGGGACCGATCCCAAGGTGGTGGTGCCAACAATGCATCATACTTGGCTCGGGCAGCATCATGTGAAAACCTTTGCCACAGTTTCCAATCTTTTAATACATGTTACAAAGATACCGGCCTCTGGGGTATTTACTTTGTAGGTGAACCATTACAATTGGAAGATATGTTGTACAATATTCAGAAGGAATGGATGAAGCTGTGTATGTCAGTTACAGAAGGTGAGGTTGAAAGAGCTAAGAACCTTTTGAAGACAAACATGCTACTTCAACTTGATGGCACCACCCCTGTGTGTGAAGACATTGGCCGTCAGATGCTGTGCTACAACCGACGTATTCCAGTTCACGAATTAGATGCCCGAATTGAAGCTGTCTCCGTAGAAAATATCCGTGATGTTTGCACTAAATATCTTTATGATCGCTGCCCTGTAGTGGCCGCAGTCGGTCCCACAGAGGGTCTGCCAGACTACACAAGGATTCGTGCTGGCATGTACTGGCTGAGGGCGTAAATTAAAAATGTAGCATACTTTAGCAATGTCATATAAAATCAAGATTATAAAAATTAAATTACTGACCCAAATGTCTGTGGTTTTATTGAAATAAAACACATTGTCTTTGGTCAATGTATTTATTATAGTAGCATAAGTTAATAAATCAAAGTGTAAATAAATCTGTTTCTTTTTAATTGCTTTTATTTATAAATAAATTATAATCATTATAATAATAACATAAAAAATCTAATGTTACAATAAATGCTACATTTATGGAACTGGATTACTAGCACCAACATTTTCTTCAATTTTGGCAACATTAGGCTTTCTAGCTGTACTTGTCTTCCTTTTCTTGCCATATGGCAACACTGGCTCATTGTGGCTTATGAGACTGGCAGAGGATATGAACACTGACACTTGCTCCGGAGTAGGACAAGCAACAATGAGATTGTCTTCATAAGTATATCCAGAGTTATTTAGGAACTGTTCAACTTGGATGAAATAACCAACAACATTATTCTGCAAAGAAAATCACACATTTAACTATTATATGCTTATTTTACAATTTTAGATATTCGGTGGAAATCCACAGCTAGTATTATAAGAGTTGCCAGCTTTTAAAATTAACAGAGAGAATAGACAAAAAAAATAAACTAGAAATGGGACGATTTAATGATTTAGTTTAAAACTACATACCCGAATAGGTCTGAACAATATGAACTCGGTTTCTTTATTTGCCAAGTATAATTGCATTGAACGTTGTAGTGGCGCTAAGTGAGCTTTGATAAGTTTTTGAGCCTCTTTCACGGCAACTGCAATCTCCTCGGGTAAGATTTTTTCTTTTGGGTTGTCTGAACTTTGAGCTTGAACCTTAAAAAAAATATATATCAATGTGTGTTAAACATTATAAAGACACTTATGTTTTAAAATTTACCTTCTCAATAAAGACTGCTAGTGGACCTGCCAATATTTCTGTTGCATGTTTTATAAACATTTCGCAACAATTCTTGAGTTGTCTATCCACTTCCTTTCTTGAGTCCAGTAGATGTTCCCTGACCATGGGCGTTCCTTCTAGTAGGAATTCTAGCAAAGCATTGTTGCTGTTCAACGAAAATATCTGCCTCGGCTTCTGCATGAGGCCGTACGCCGCGTTCTTCATATTGCTGAAGTCCAAAGTCGTTTCTTTAATCACAAAATCAACTTGGAACGGAGCAATCTGTTCTCTTAGGATGAGCAAATGTTTTATTTGGAACAATTCTCCGTCAATATTGGTCTTGGTGGCTGATATTTGTTTGGCGGCGTTGTCGACGCTCTGGACGCAGAGGGAGATGGCTTCCTGCGCCAGGCCTTGGAATACTCTTTTCTCCAGACAGCGGTAGAGCCTGGAGAGTGCTGCTAGTGTGCGCCTTACGGCGGGGTACCACATGCCGTGGAGATCCGCAGGCGAGGCGTTGGGCGGGGCGGCGAGCGGGGCCGAGGGGCGGCGCTGGGCTTCAGAGTTAATGTTAGCCACCTCCTGTGACGTGGCAGACACGTCTGAGACCATAGAATTGCGAGAGTCGCTGCGTTTCAAGCTTTGCTCTTGTATCGAGAGCGCGATTTCCTGTAAACACAAAGACATTTAAGATATACATAGACTAGACATAGTAAACATTTTTGCATCGGTAACATCTTTAAAATGTACTATGCTAGTTGTCAAGTTTAGTACACCTCATGACCTTGTACTAACATGTTATAAAATAATTTACAAAATCATAATAAGCTTCATCTTTGGCTATAAAATAAAACAAACATTACAGTTTCAGACACCTATTAGAAATTAATTTCAATACAATTTATTATAGCGTTAGTGGATCAAGTGAAAAATATCCCAAGTGAAGAGCCAAGTATGCTTACTTTATATATGTTTTGAATCTCTTTGTGTAAATACATTTTTTAAGTGGTAAATACCAGCAACAACGACACTTGTATAGTCCCCGTTCCCCGAATGTTTTGTACCTCCATCATCTGCAGCTTGTCGGGGTAGGCGAGGTCTCCGGGCGCGGCGCGGTACAGCAGCACGTCGCGGCGCAGGTGCACGTGCGCGCGGAACACCAGCCGCTCCTGCGCGTCCTGCAGCAGCGCGCGCGCCGCCAGCCCCAGCGCGCCCAGCGCCGCTGCGCCACATACCCACCATAACCACCACACTCACCACACTTACCACATACCACCGCCACACCACACACTTTACCACCACTTTACAAAAGGTACAAAATCGACTGAAAATGTTGTAAATCCAGAAAGATGGACGTGAAATTTAGATATAGCAAAAATGTTATCATTAATCCAAGAATTTCTTAAACAATTCAATGGTCAATCCAAGTTAAATCTGTATTCATACTGATTAGTAACGTCAATTTTCTCGAAGGTCGTTTGAAGGTCAAACAATAAGTGCTATTATGTTAATAAAAGGGCATCTCACGGTCATTGTTGACTTGCTCCTCGATGACCTCAATGCGCAGGATGACGCAGAGCTCCGCGAGTGTCTCCAGGTGGTTGATGTGTATGATCTGCGGCCGCAGCTGCTCGTACAGCCCCGTGCACAGCGACTGCAGGTACTCACTGCATATTGCATATGCAATGCTATTACTTTGATATTACAAAATCACACGAAAACAAGAACCTTAGCTAGAAATAATAGCAGTTTCTTATAAGTACATAACTTACCCGACGTTCTTACGGTGAAGGAAAACATCGTGATGCCAGCACATATCGGCGAAGAGCGAAGAAATTAAAGATATGTATGTGGTCAACCAACCCGCACTGGGCCTTTGTTAGGGTGACTAGGCCATAGACCTTGTCACTCTTACTTAGAGTAGGCTCCGAGGCCCTCAGTGGGGATGTATAGTGAGCTGATGATGATAAATTTCTCGGTTGCAATGTGGATGCAAAATCTACACGAAAGTCGGCTTAGGTATAGCTATATAAATGTATTGAAAGTTACTGCAAGGCAGGCGAGGGCTGGCTGAACAGGTTGGAGTATAGCGCCCACTCGTCGCGGCAAGCCAGCGCCAGCAGCGAGCAGGCGGCGCGCAGCGCGGCGCAGTGCTCGCGGCCCGCCGCGCGCAGCGCCGCGCCCGCCGCGCGCCCCGCGCCCTCGCCGCGCCGCGACAGGTACTCGCGCTGCGCCTCCCCCAGCAGCGTCGCGTACCTGACCACGTACCACAATGTACCACCACATACCACAACACTCCATACAAATATGTACAGTCAGGGAAACTGGCTGTGTTCCACCTTTTAACTATTGTTGGAACATTTTGTAACAAAGACGCAAAAAAAAAATAAACAAATAAAATGCAGCTTTTAAATGTATTAACCGCTAATTTTTTTATTGCTTTCCCTTCATTTGCACCACTCACTGCAATCTTTGGTTATTTCTAAAATAGGCAGAATTTGTCTCATTGCAATGAACAAGGCAATTTTTCCTTAAGTAAACACTGATCTCCATGACTGTACATAGATATCTTAGCGATTCTTAAGTCTGGTTCAAACTTAGCCAGAACAGTTGGACAGTAGCACTCTATAATTGTTTCAATTGACATAATGTGTTTATTCCTTTGATTCACAAAAACATTATTTTCATACATTGCCTACAATGTAGTAAGTTCATACAAATTCTAGGAAATGTTCTCATTAAGCAGAATATGTATGTATTTCAGATTTTGGTAAACAACTATCACTAGAACTGGGATGCAATTTCAATTCTATCATATATTTCAATCTTAAACATAAATTTGGTCAATACTAAACAAATAACATCTTTAGAATATTATTTAAAAATACTTACTCTTCATTATTTTCGGCTCTCTTTTCAATCTCATCAATAACCATCCTCAACTTGGGAGCAACGGCTTGAAACTTCCCGAAGTAAACTGCATATGCAGTGTCCATTGTCTCCTGATCATTTGAGTCTTCTTCAGTAATGAGCACTTGCTCAGTCGCCTGGTTGAGAACTAGGATGATATAAGATCGGATCAAGGAAATGCCACGGTTTTGTAGATGTCTGTATTTCACAAGAAATGTATGTGATTCTTTGAAGTTGCTCTGGAATTGAATATTTTTCTTATTAGATTCAAGCAGAGAGATATATACATTTGTTTTGGAATAGATACAGAACAACCGGATAGAATACATAGGCTAACTGTGACAATGGAAATGTGCTGCTGAGTTAAAATCATGGTTAAAACTACTAATGGAAACATTTTTAAAATCGATCAAAGTTTTTAAGTTTCCTGCAACAAACATACAAAAATATGTATTTTATTCTGTTTCTAGTATTAGTAGCTATACTAATAACTTATATCTATAAGGTATATTTAAGATTACTTACATGTGATCTCATATAATCCAAACATTCATCAATCTTAGCTAAAACCTTAAAGAATGCTTCACTGTTCACTGACATTGTTGGACTGTTCAACCTCTGTGACAAATGTTCAACTTGTGTAAAATAGTGCAATTTCTGTTTGATATTATCTCCTGTAAATTAAAAACAAACAAATAAAAATAACACCCAAAATAAATATGAAACTAATAAATGAATGAAACACATAATTTTTTTTAAACTAAAATCCAACTGAATGAATTAATGTCAAGTTACTTCTTTACTGATTTTCTGCTATTATCATCATTGTTAATTTTTTTTTCAATAACTCACCAATGTCAGAGAGCTTGGTCTGATCGGCCAGCAATTGTTCACTCATAGTGTGAAGAGCATTTGTTTTGTTTGACACCAAATTATATTCCTCTGATAGCTTGTTCAGGTCTGTCATTGTTGCTTTTATCTATAAATAAAAATTAAATAGAATATAATATTAGCAAAACTGTTTGTCTATTTTACATTCCATCCATGGAACATGTAAGGATTTGTACCTGATCAGTTAAAGAGACACATTCATTCCTCCTGTCCTCCAATTGTTTATAATATGCTTCATATGGAGCATCATCTGCTTTTACACTGGTTTCATTCAGCTGTTCATACCAGTCCAAGAATTCGAATGTGTTTTCTATCTCTGGCATCGTTGTACCTTCTTCTTGTTCACTACAAATCTCAGTTTTCTCCTGCTAAAAAGTCAATAAAAGATTACAGCCACGCAGTTATGTTATAGCACCTACAAAATAGGTATGTTATATTTGGTATACAACATATGCAAACTTAATGTGTCTTATAGTAAATTACTGCAGGATATGACTTCCATATACTAACTTGTTCATACTCAGGAGTTATTCCAAGTAACAGCGATTCTAAGTCAAGAATTGCTTCTCTTTGATTGGAAGTTAAAGATGCTAATGGATTATCAGACGTTTCCCATTGTAGCAGCTTTGTTTGAATTTCTTTTAAGGACATATTATCCATGTTTTCATGGAAAGACGATAATTTGAAAATGAAAACAAATTACATTTGTTTCATTTGACGTCATACGACCAACGTCTTTGACGTTGACAGTTGACATTTCAAAGTTTCAAGAACATTCAAGGCATTGTCAACACTGGTTCATACGTCATTTAAGCCATAAATACTTTATTTTCAACTTACTGAATTAATAATTGGTATTCATTAAAATCATGCATTTTTCTCGAAAGATAATTTCAACCTAAAAAAAAACATTTTAATTTTTTCAAAGATGGGTTTTATTGTACAGTGCCATCTAGTAGGCAGTAGCAGTACCATTTCCATCTTACTTTTTGTTTAAGCTATAAATCAATAGATGGAGTTACTAGTTTAAATGTGTGTGGCATTATATTCTAAAATGTCCTTGAATTGATTTGTATGTGAATGTTCAAATACAGTAGTGCAAAGTATAATCAAGTGTTTCTTTTGTGGTCCTGCTCTCCTTATTAAACACTTTTAAACAGAAAAGTGGCATCTAGTGGTTAAGAGAAAACAAAAACTGTGATTTAAAATGTGAAAAGTAGATGGCGCTGATATGAAAATGCTAAAACTATTATTTTTACTAAATAATAAATGTTGAGAAGCTGCTTTTAAAATGAATTTCTTGTGCAAAGTACTATTGTGGTGGGCAATACATTGATTCTTAATGTGTACTCGTTTGTTGCATTCATATGTAAAGGTACATTTCGTTATAAACGATTCGACGAAGTGGTCAATTTAAAAAGCATCATATTAGAATAGAGCAGTGACGAATGTACTGTATAATTTGAGCACTAATGTATAAATAATGTGAAATGCATTTGCGATAACAGCACATTAACACTACCTATACTCGTAATAATTTCTAAGCTTTCGAATTAGGTAAAAATACAACAAAACGGAATTAAATGGACTTATTTCCTTACGTTACCAATTACCAAGATCTGTTGCAGCATCATTTGCAGGTAAGGCAGGCTCAGTCTTATTCGTCGGTGTTACTTGCCTTGTATAGACGACTTTTGGTTAAATCGTTTATTTTATTGAAATGTTAACATGATTCGCAACATTCTGTCAGAAGGATTGTGCCAACACACATATAGTTAATTTGTTGTAAACATGATACACTATTCATGATGCTTTTAATATGCGATATCGCAAATTGATATAACATTTTACAAATAATATGACTGCTTCTTGCGCCGAGTCTCCACAAACATCACTCGATTACCAGAACAGGTTGCGAATGGAAGTTTTGATAAAAAGATCTTTGGTACTTAACATTACAAATTTTTAAAAGATTATCTTGCTTTTGTCAAGCCTCTTAAAGATTCTTACATTTTAAGTGGCCAATTATATTTAAAATCCCGCTTTTTTTATTCAATGATCTTTGTTGTATTATTTGCTCTTTGTCTCAAATATTTGACTGCTTCTGTGTTTAAGTGATCATCTAACAAAAGAAATGCAAGCGACTGAATACTGCTTTAACAAAGACGAACAGTTTTTTGTGTTAAATCTTAATTTTCGATTGTATTGTTTTCTTTTATCTATATAAGGATAGGGTATTTAAAGGATCAATAAAAATAACACAGTTTTAATAGTTTTGCATTTATTGGGTATGAGGAACCTTTCTGGTCAACATAAGCTACATGGACATTCTCTGTTTACAATTATATTTACAATTTTCAGAATCACATATAATATTATTCATATCTAGTAACTAGAATAATGCTTTTAGGATTGGATTACTGCAAGTTGACAATAATCACGAGAACCTAACGACGCCTGTACACGTGCGCGGCCGCGTTGCAATACTGCGACCCGCGCTTGCGGCGGCGCTGCTCTACATACATTCACCGCACACTTTGTTCTTTTCATTTATTAAACGATAAACAATGAAGCGAGTTAAAATACAGCAAATATACTTATAGTTTCATCTAGATATATCTCTTCATCTGATAACTGCAATCCAACTGTCACAACACGTCGTCACTTCATCATCGCGTACTCCCGTATTTACATCCTACCTCTCACAATTCTATTACAACTTGTACTATATACAAACAATTTATTAATCATTAAAAAAATACATTAAAACGCTATAACTTCTCTCTATCTGCGATACATCGGCCTGGAATAAAAAATGTTTTTTTTTTTCAGCGTGTACTAAGCCAGCTAACGCAAGAGGCGACTCTCGCGACTACGAGTTCTAACCTTAACGTCTCTCAACGTATAAATCTACGGACATCAAAGGCAACTCCGATGCCTCCGAAGGTTACAGTATTTGTCATCATTATAGTAAAAAGTACGAACTAAAGGAAACCCCACAAAGTGCACACGACACGATACAATCAGACTACTATCGACAGATCATTATAATCGGGCTGACGAGGAACAAACGCTTGCGAATTTATTGTTAGCACGGTACAACTCGGATAAATAACTTAAAATTATTACAAAAAAAATATATAGTAAATAAATAACAGTCATTGTTCAGTATGCATAGGAATAATCGACTATTTCATTACATTACATTATTAACACACGACCTTACAGATATCTTAAATGGAATACATTACGCGAATAGCGATATCTAACTTTAAACCGAATAAAAAATATAGACGTTATACATCGAAACACTAAAAGGCTCGTCGCCGAGTTGCATAGCAAAAGCATGGCAGTTAGCACAAAGTTCTGCACCCTAAAGATTAAATAACAGAAAAATATATTTCTATGAGTCCAAGCATGGTAATGTGAGCGAGCGCGCGGCTCGGGCTAGCGGCGGGCGCGGCGGGCGCAACGGGCGCGACGTGCGCGGCGTGCGCTACGTGCGCTACGTGCGCTGCGTGCGCGGTGGGCGCGGCCCCCTGCTGCTAGCCTACGACATGACACAGCACGGCCGCGGTGCGGCTCGGCGCGGGCGAGGGCTCGGCGTCTACGAGACGGGCGGCTGCGGGCCCTGCGGCTGCGGCGGCGGCTTGGCGCCTGCGGCCGGCAGCTGCGCCAGCGTGTCCTGGCTGGCGTGTGCTCGCAGGTACGTGTTTTCCACCTCGAGCTGGTTGATCCTTTCCATCAGTTCCGCGATGCGCTCTTTCAACACTTCCACTTCCTCGCGCACCGCGAACATCAAGTGGCTCTTAACCAGATCCTGAAAAAAAACAAAAAAATCGTCCGTTAGCGCCTTTCGAATTATAAAAATATGTTGATACTCCACGTCCGTGTTTCGACGCCAGATCCGAACGTTCAAACCGGTTTTGAAACGCATCGCCGGTAAACAGATCTTAAAGTTCAAAAATAATACGCGAGATGCTAAAAATACATCCATATTACAGTTAGAATAACACAAACAATTCACAGTAGCAAACGATCAAACGTGAGAATTAGAGGACTAAAAATTATCACAAGACTTTAAAGTGAAAAAATTAACACTGAATTTAAATAACGTAAACCTACTTCTGGATTAGGCACGACCACGTAACAGGTATCTTTCGCGCCCTTTCTTGTGATTTCGTAAAGGCAGCCATCTTTGGATTGAACGACGTCAATCATGTTTCAGAAGTGCAATTGATTTTCGTAATGTGAACGTGCGCGTATCGGACAACGGACCGAGTGCGACTGAGCGCGGCGAGCTCTAGCGAGGTATGGCAGCGAGAGAGTTGCGCGCGTGCGTCCTGCGCCCGACTGATGGTCTGATCGCGCGCGCGCCCTATTTAAAATGGCGGCGCACACGTCACCGCGCGCCACGCGGCTCGCCCGTGCACCCTGAACTCTACTCCGCTACAACATATCGCTAATAACAAACCTCTTGTTTTCTTCATCCTCAACATTTGCAAAACGAATATCTCTACCAGCTATAATATAAATTTCATTTTATTCAAGGAAATGGTTGACTCACACAAGCAACAAGCATTCGCGTTAATAATGGGCCATAATATAAAAATCTACAACTTAAAATAAAATTATATTAGTCAATATTTGAATTAAAGAAAATATATATTTTCAGACTCCGTCGTCTTAGGTATTTAAAGCTATTGCTTTGTCATGTGTACTTAAAAATTGTGTATGCGCCATCTCTATGTAAATTAGCAAATAATGTATACCTACCTAATAAATTTGTAGAAACGAAATCGTGCCTATAATGTTGGCATATTAAATATTATCATAAAGAATATGAATATCTGTTTCTTTACACAGTTAGTAACACTGATAAGTTCTTGACATCTGTAAGTTGCAACTTGAACAAGATGAATGTCTTTAAACAAATTTTAAGAACGTACGAGCGGCAGAACAAGTGTTTGTTTGCTAAGACGACTCATTGTCGGCAATTAAACTTCATTAAATTCTATTTTCGCTCTTAATAAAGAGGACACGTCGTAAGACAAAAATAAACATAACAAAGAAGAAATCAATTACGCAATAAAGCCAATGGAAAGGTTTGTGAAACCAATAAAATTTACGCACTTACAAGAGATTATGAAGGTCTGAAAATAGTCCGTTATAAAGATAGAAATCTGATTAGGAAATAATGATAAGAAAGAATGCGGATAGCGATTGAACTTACATATATAGAAAAAGATAAATAATTTACTGTTGTTAATAACCAATTAACCTACCAACAATGATGCTGGTATTATGTATTACGCATTTATTAATATTAGTTACATATTTTATTGCTTAATGATGTCGCGGAAATATGCACATAGAATTACTCAATTTAAATAACTAATTTAGATATGACAAACATTGAGATAAATCTAAGAGCGTCTGAGCTAAATATTTAACGCTATAATTAGAGGATGGTAAAAATAAGATTGAGGAGATTATTTAAGCGTGGGAGCTACGACCTTCAATCAAAGCAATTCCAGATTCGACTGGCGCGGACTGAATTACTCCAATCGCGATATATCAACGACGCCATTGCTCTTGATGGAAAATTAATAAAGACTGGAACAATCAACAAAGCGATCGAAATTATTTTACGGTTAAAATTATTAAAATACGCGAAACAGCTAAGTTCAAGAAACTTGTACAAACAGGAAGATAGAGATGAAACATTACACTTGTGAAATAAAACGTCGTAAATTAAA